AAAAATGGATGTTTTCATTGAAATATGCTGCCTGAAACTTTCGCGATTACAATACTTCCTTTTTTGTACAAGGAAGTAATAAAAAGTATCCTTAGATACAAGTCTTCTGGCTGTGAGCTTGGAAGCAGAGCTTGAGAATATGTACCTGCGAAAAAAAAGGACAGTTTCTATCTCTCGTTTACTGGGCCGAAAGGAAATTCAAATTGATTTTTGCGTCTTCAAGCGCGACTATGATATATATTAGGTTTATATATAGCATTATTCCAATGTAGATATTTTGACACAAAATCGGACCTTTTTCTGAAATGACATGCCAATGTTTTTCCATATTTCGATCATGCGACTTAAATTACGCGTAAATATTAAATTTTGTAAACTTTGGTGTGAAATTTAAGGAGAAATTCAAAATTTTTTTTTTTAAAGTGTTTTCTGTTTGCTTCGAATAATTTTCTTGACGAACTTCTGAATTTATAGCAACCTATTTTCCTTTCCCTTTGTTTCATTGTCCAGGAGTGGAAAAAAATTCATCGTTTATATTTTCAAAACATTTTTACAAAGTGCGGAAACCACATTTGGCGTTGTTATCGCTTATAACAGATAGACTCGGTTGTAGGGATCCCCTTATTTTAGAATAACAAATTATTTTGAGTTTGGTACCTTTCTTGAACCTCTCATTTTCCCCTCAGGTTTCCTCACCAGGATGTAAATTTAAAGTCAAGTGAAAAAAGTATTCAAACGGACTAAGATTGTCGTTCATTCAGAGAGTGATTTCATTAGCTAGCGCACGTTACTAGTTTGTCCATGCTATTACGCTTTCTGATACGTCTTTTTGGCGATTTAATAAGTCTATCGCCGGGTAGGTTGTTTAGTCAGCCTAGTTAGACTTAAATTAAATTGTTAGTACAGCAGTACATCTTTATCTTTGAATTTATTATGAAATTATTCTTAAGGTGGTGTGGTGGTGTATTTAATTATGGCAAAGTACACTAGTGCTATCTACCTAAGGGTATGGATGCCTTCTTGGAGAACTCTCTAAGGGAAACTGGCTCGTATACACGTTACACATGGGGAAAACAAACACCCATGAGGGGAAAACCAGCGACCCCGCTCCAGCCCGCCGTTCCCCCTCCTTAATTCTTAGCGTTCTTTTGCTCCGCTGGTGGGCTCTATTATTAAGTTTCAACGCAAGTCGGGTCGGTTATTCAAACACGAAGTATATGCATTTGTTAAGAGTTTGATGAACAACAAAAGGTTTTTTTTTTTTTTTATATATATTATATATATATATACCCTTTTTTCTGTGCTGGTGTTATTTACGCCTGTGCGAGAAGTCGTTTATGATAGCAAAGAGAGTTAAATCCCGCACGGTGAGTTCTAAATTAAAACGTGGCTACTCTCAAAAACTCAGAAGTATGGTAGCAGGGATTTGATGGATTCTAATTAATAGAATTAAAATTGTAGTTAGAGTGCCAACCAAAGTGACGATAATATTGTTGACAGGCTACGGAAGCTCAGTTACTTTACCTTAGAGTGAAAAGGTTCTGCCTTCGTATTGAAACTTTCGTTTCTCAATTTGCAATATTTCTTCAGCATTCGAACATGTTTGTAAAAGCGAGTAAGTTGTACATTTGCGGCTATCGCATTTTTGACGGTACAGTGCTTGTGATGAGTCACCCGATGATTATTTTAATTGCTGTTTATAATATAAGTGTATTTTGTAACATGGCAGCTAAAGAATGACGCAGATAGTTGCGACATACAAGGACAGTATAATACATTCGACATCTAAAAGTTCAAGGCAAAATTTAATCTATCAACTGCGAAAATTTAAAAACTCATTTAACATATACCAAGTGAACCTTTAGTATTTATCTCTAAGAGAATATAATTTGGGAGAGGGGATTTCGATTTTCCATTATTTTATAATTTCGCTAATACATGTTTGCTCTTGTTGCATAGTCTTACTCGTAGTTTGCTAAAATCAGTGCAGATGTTTTCTATTAAATATATCTTACATTTTTTTTTTTTTCGCTTCTAGCTTTCCCTTATTTTGGATGCCTCTGGTAACAGCCTACTGCAAGGAGATTTTGCATGTCTGTCCTAAATGTGGCGCAATCGTTGCTCGCTATCCTTTCTTCTCTACGCGACCGTAAGAGCCCATAGTTCAGATATAACCTCTGAATTAAGCATTTATTAATATACGGGACGCAAGATAAGAAGACTGAGCATAATTTCATGTGTTGATGAAAGAGATACGAATCAGTCGTGGCGGGGAATATTGGATGGATACCTGAGTTTTTTTTTTTTTTTTTTACTTGTTCTGTTAATACCACTATTGTATGACGCATACGAAAACGAAATAAAATACTAGTAATGAACAAAAAAGTTAAAATTTTATTTATGTATTTAAAAATTAAAACACGAAAATCTAGAAGGACAAACTATGCCGGAAATCAAGTATTTAACATTAAAGAAATGGCTAACTCTGTAATTTGACGAGCCAAGCTGACAACGGTTTTGACGATACAGTCATTTCGCGAAGCAGAAAGTACTAGAAATGTCTTGGCGGGCGGATGAAAACTATATAAGGCAGGAGAGAGCATCTGCTTTCAGCTGTTGTTAGATCTCAACTTAGCGTGAGTTTCGAGTACTATCTCCATCTTAGCTTCGCTCTTAAGCTAGGCTTTGAATTGCATTGTGTTTAACGTTCTAGGTAGTTTGAAGAGTAACTACTGATTGAATTTTGGGGTACTGTGGACATCCGTACGAGTATTTTTGAGGGAAATTCCAGAACTCTGAAGTGTTTCTTTGGATAAAAATAAATTCTATCAACCCATCATGGGACCTGTGTGTATTCAATCTATTACGAAGCCGTACGCACGCAACAGTATTTATATTACTCAAGGCATTCTGTTGCATTGCTTCCTCAGTATAAATTGTCTACACTTATTGAACATAGTCAGTGTAAAGATATCAAATTTTTAATATAGTCTAATAAAATCAGATATTTATATAGTCCTATGCATTTAACAGGTAATTTCAAAAGTCAATTTTTAATGGCCAGCAGATCAGTCTACATTTATTGAACATAGTCAGTGTAAGGTACATAGAGTTTTATATTTCGATTTCGGGCGCAATCTTCGATTATTATCAAGCCTAGTGAGTCATTTATATATATATAGTATTTATATTTATATATATATTTATATATACATATTTATATTTATATATATGCAGGTCCAGCCGAATTAAATATGTGGTAAATCATAACCCTTCATCATTCGAACTTGGCCGACTAGGTGTCGGGCCTCTCGCCAGTCGTCTTATAAATACAGGAAAATGTAAGGATTCATTACTTTCTTTCACTCTGTAAATGGTTGACACGCCCATGCACGAGAAATGGAATGGAAAGATATCTGGCTCGAATTACGGCGAAGACTTAGTTGATTTTCTATATTCTCTTTTTCAGAATTCTGATAAAGATCTATATTAATCAGATCTACAGATCTACTGTAATTTTATTTTTCCGGTAGAGATTCGTTTTCTTGAAAATGTTTATGTTACATTATATAAAATTTGTTGCATTGTAAATGAAGGAAGTTTCATATCAGGAGTGAGAATCTAAATTTAAGAAATCATGTTGGCATTCTGAAACTCTTCTGCGTTGCCTAGTTTAAACTTTTACTACAAGTTTGTCTCTAACTGAGGTTGCATTAGAAATCGCGAGGTAGAGGAGCCATGTTGTTAGATTTGTAAATAATTTTAATCATTCTTGTCTGTTCAGCTCACAAGAAGAGGAGGGTAATTTTGTTAGCTATTTTAGTTTCTGTAACTTTGAGTTGAAGTGAAAGTAAATCATTTAGCTTTTTTTTAATCTTGTTGTGATTACTTACTGTCCTGGGACTGAAAGATAAAAATGAAACTCTAACTCTGTGGGGAGCATCTGCTAAAAATACCAGAGACCTGTGAAAGACAGTGAGAAAAAGTGCCTCCCCCCGAAAAAAAAATAAAGTAATGAACAGTTACTAACTTAAAAAATAAAATATAAATAGAAATAAAGTAATAAAAATTATAACCAATGAAATAAAATATAAATACATAGGAAAAAATTAATAATTAAGTTAAATAATTGATTACCATTTAAATAATAAATTTATATATCAGAGCTCATTGCATTTAGATGCTTCAATTTGTTTTTTATTCATTCAATTTCTGTAAACCTAATTTTAAGAACTTTATACACACTTTCCACAGAATATGCGAAACTATTCTAAAGTTCCCTGCAAATCCATCTTTTGAATAAACTGTTTATCAAATGAGATTTTTATTTCTGAAGAAGAGGGACCAGAGTCTGATTGCTTTTGAAATCGATAGTTTTGTAAAAATCCACATCAAACCAATTTTGTTTCATTGCTAATTTTAAAATGAACTGAAAAAAAAAAAAAAAAGTCAATAGAATAAAACTGGATTGTTTGTCCAAGCAATGTCGATATTAATAGCCTTATCGTCACGTAGTCTAAGAATCCATTGTCATATGCCTTGTATTGGGATATTTTCAAATACTGAATAGATTTTGTTGAAGTACAAAGGGCAATGCTTTGAAATATGCTTCACTAAAAAATCCAATACTCTTGAAACGAAGATGTTTTCGTTTGCTAGTTTAACGCCACTGTAGAAAAAAGCACAAAAAGAACTAAATTTTGCTTCTTGTTCTTAGAGAAGCAAATAAAAGAAAGGTCTTCGCAGCAGCTTGCAACTACTTCGAACAACTGCGAGAGAGAGAGAGAGAATAGAAGAAATAAAATGTATATATCCGGAAGATAAAAAATAAATAAATAAGTAAATTAAACAGCAAAAACGACCCGAGTATCTTCACACATTTGTTCTCTGCGGAGAATTTTGCGTTTACATTCAATCTAAAGGATCTGGCAACGGAAGGGGCGAGGGGGGAAGAAGCGATTCGCCGTTACGAGCGCCCTCTACGCGAGACGGTCGAAAGGAAAATGTGCCAAAATGGCGGTCCCTGCAACCGCGCCGTAAAGTTAGCTGCCCTGCACTGATGAAGGAAAAAGTGTTTTGGGAGGAAGATACGTCACCGCTGATTCCGATTCTGGTCGTCCCGTTTCATCTTGGAGCTGTGTATGTATTCTAAGGAAGAGAATACGTTGCGGAAATCACAAAATTTTGAAGAACATGGGTCGGAAATCTCCCCTACAGCCACTGCCTGCAAAATTTCGCCCGGCTTGAGAGGGAGATCTCTGAGTCAGGTTAGTTCCTTTTGTGTTCTGGCATACTTGCGCCAATATCCAAAACTAAAGATTAAGACTTAATGTATGGTTTCATTCCTTTTCAACAATTAATTAATGTTTTTATATAATACAAAAAATAGTTATTAACTGCTTTTTTGTAAAGATAAGCATGGGGGATAAATATGTATGTCGAAGTATTCGTGATAGAATTTGTTACTAATTTTACGATATAGAAATTTTAGATGATTTTAACGTAACGTGGTTTGTATAAAATTCTAATTTTTCGTATCTAGTTTAATTTGAATTAACATGTATGTACCTCGTTAACATTTTGATTAAAGCTGTGGCTTTGTTTTTAAGAAAAATCTCCTTTTGAGCTCTGTTCTGAAGAACATGTTTAGACGAGAAATATTATTTGAATTATATTTGCAATAAAAATGCTATATCTGTTCAAATTTTCTAAAGTAATTTTTATTTTAAGTAGGGAAATCTTTAGACTAAGAGTTATGTTAATGAATTTTAAAGAAGCGTTCTTTATTTTATTCCGATTTTCTTCTTCCCTTTAAACCATTTTTTCTGCTGCGTGTAAAAAAATTAAGTTTAAATTGAAGAGTGGAAAAGTACAGTGACAACGATTTACTTAACACTAAAAATATTCACAGAAAAATTATTCGAAACTTATTTTCTTCATATAAAAAGAATAAAAAGAGGTCAGTGAGTTACAAAGAATAAAAAATAGTTAATAAACGTGCAAAATGAAAATGGTTTTCCTGCCAATTTTTAGTTGCATATTATTTTCTTTGTGGAGAATAACTTTATATATATATATAGAGAGAGAGAGAGAGAGATACACAGAAAGCTATCTTTATAAGTTTCTAAAATGGAAAATATATTGAAATGATTAAAATCTTATATGTTTTGGTGATTTAACGTTTTCAATGAATTTTTTCCATCTGAAATCAGTTCTTTATTTCTTCCCATTTCTGTTGCTGTTTCGTGTGAATTCATGTTTTACTCTATTTATGGGAATTTATATATTTATGTAAAAATTGGAAATTTATATATTATGGGCATATATATATGTAATTGGAGGGGAATTATATATTATGTAAAATAATATAAAGTAAATTTAAAATTATTGAAAATTTGAATTTTGGATTTTGTGTACTCAGGAAAGAATAATTAACGTAAAACACTGTACCGCATTGTTTTGTATTTGATTCTTCAAAGGGTTAGAGAAAGGAATACTGGACTAATTGAAATTTTATCGATCCTATACATGATAATCCTATACTTTATGCATACAGTTTATCTACTGTTATTTTCCATTCTTTTACATCACTTTATAAAGCAAGGAAGAGAATATAATTATATAATGAATACCCAAGAGCCTTCCGAGAGAATAAGTATACATGAAAAGAGGGTTTAGATAATTCATTCTTAAATATTAATAAATGAAAATAATTGTATTTAATTTAAAAGTGAAAACAAGTGAGATGAGTCATATTTATATAAAATATCCTTATTAACCCAAAAAGGTGTTAGCCCGAATGGGCTCTTAAGTCTAAATGGGAATTTGCGTCGCCCTCTATAATCATTTTTTAAATTGCTTCCATCATATACTATTCCCCTATATTAGCTTTAAAGAAATTAAATAAGAAGAATCTGAAGGTATGTATGCATGCTGTTCTCACTGTGAAAAAATGGCGGTACCTAGAGCCATTGCATTTTTAATAATGTTGCCCTCCCATTTGCACCTGGAAGCCTGAATTTAGAATTTCGAAATTTAAATTTCATATTTTGTAAGACCTTTAATCAATTTTCGATTAACAAAGTCAAGGATTTGAACGCGAGCATTGGCAACATTTTACGGAATAAAATACTTTTATCTCCAGCGCGCGAGACTGTCTGTCGAAAATTCTAAAGATATGCTGTTTTTAAATATTTTATAATTTTGCTGAACACGGATATGATGAATTAAGAAAAGACTAAAGAAAATAGAAAAACGTATACCACTACTCATGCACCGGGAATTCTAAACATACACAGTTTTTTCGTAATTCTGCTGTTGAATCGTATGTGGCGTAAGTGCGAAGAAAATGGTGCTTAATAATAGTCGTCGAGTGCGAATAGGCGTCGAGTGTGCTACCGTTACACCACTAAGGTATGCTCGAAGAAGAGAGAAAATACCTGATAAGGTAAAAGAAAGGTATTCTTACAAGGAGAAATCTATAACATAACTTTAAAACTAGTAGTATACCTTGCTAATCTAGCACGGTCGGCGTCTGACAGTCCAGTTTAGAAGGTTCAAAAACCAAATCCTAAATGGTCGTTAATACGATAGTTTCTTGTCTTGAACGTCCATTTGAAAACGGAACCAATCTTATATGGTACAATCAGTCTTAAATGTGCAGTCTTTGAGTTGACAAATGTATGAAGTTAAATTTATCACTTATCATATGGATATTTTTATTTTGTATGTGGTTAGCATATCCAGCTAGCTGTTGAAGAATCTATCCGCTCGAATTCCTATCCCGGGCTAAGTTGAGTTTCAATGTTTTATAATGCTATTGTTCTTGTTGCTTATGCTCATGTCTGATGCCAAGCCATGTCTGCCAAGCCCACGAAATTCCTCGTTTCAAGCACCGCTAGATTACGCCTGCCGTTGGCAACAGCCTTGAGCACCTCACACGCCAAAGTACGATTTGGCTGAGTTTGATGCAGGCTGAGTTCCCAATTTTGATGGACAGCACCCGAGGGGGGACGAGTCCAATATCTTCCGTGCCACCAAGCCACACGAGAGGACTTTCGACTCGCCGAATATTTAGAGTGCTGCTTACTGCACCGACACTACACATTTACAAATACCCATGCCTTCTCCGGGATTCGAACCCGGATCCTTCGGCACGGCAGTCAGCGACGCTAACCACTATTTAGTTTGTACGGCTTTATAATATTTACAGCCTAATAAGAACATCCGATATAAAAACGATGGCGGACGGCATGAATCGGCATGAATTCGGTTAATCCATAGAGACTTCATCGATCGAGGTTCATGCTTCTCTCCAGGAGCTCTTTAAGAGGAAAAGAATATAACGTGTGACTGCATGTCTACATATGTGCTGTTCTGGAGCAAATGGTTGGCACATCTGGGTAGCATTGGGAAAGTAATATGGTTTCGAATCTTGACGAGGGCATAAACGATTTCTCAAAGTCCTTTATGCCTCGTCAAAATGAATGAATTTTCTTAACCATTAAATTTCATTTTGAGAAGTCTCTATACCATAAAAATTTACACCAAGAGAGTCCTGAGAGTCCTTAATCACTACACCATTGAGTTGTAAGTTGAGAAAACATATATTTGGTCACCTGATATCACATTTTGTTATCTAAACCATTCAGTTATCTGCCGTGCAAAATATCTTTGATGTATCAATGTCAAGTAAGTCAGATTATCTTCTGTCTCAGCCCCGTCTTTGTTCTTATGATATGCCTTAAAATCTTCTAATAGGCAATTCCATATTCAAACTGCTATGATGTTTATCTGAACTTGTGTGGAATCCCAGCTTGTTGAGCAAATTATTGTTAATCGCATTTTAAAACACTGTACTAATAAGAGCGATAATAAATTAAAATTTTTCAAGAAAAACAATTCGGTAGAAGCTATGAGAAGTAATAGAAAATGCATTTTAAGTTCAGCTTCAGAACAGTTTCTCTGTAGTTTCGAAGAGAGAATGCGTCGAAATTTGTGCTAGAAGTTTATCGACTTACGAAGGGTTTCTATGGCGACTTCTCCTTGCTGGAATTATTTACCGCTGGGAATGTCATAGCATTAGATCAAGGAAATCGTAGCAAGCGTTGAATTATCAGTTGTCGAGTGTCAAACAGGAGCTGCATTATTAAGATGCCAATCAATATATATCTATATATACAAGTCTTCTCTCTCGTGTCGCGTACGTGTTTATTTGTTATCAGCTCTACGTTATGAGCAGCTATACGATGCGTTTGGAAAAGATTCAAATAAAATCTAAATGGATAATTAGTGTCGTGAGGATAATTTCAGTCGTGAGGCACATTTTATAAAATACATTAAATTTAGATTTTTATGCGGGCCTTTTACGTAGAATTATACTAATATTAATATGTATACAGTAATTATAGTAAAAGTTCGATAATCCCACAAGTTCAAGGATTTGAATAAATCCGTATATATCGGATTATCAGAAATGTAATGCAGTAAAACCAGTTTTTTAAATGTAATTGAATCTACTGTAAGAATGTAAGACTTTAAACCAAGCTCATGTTTCCACTCTCTTTTTACTTCCTTGTATGAAGTAAAAAGGAAGTGCTGTAATCGCCAAAAGTTTCAGGCAACATATTTCAACGCAAATATCCATTTTCACCGCTATCGAATGCAATTTGACGATGTTTTTGCGTGATATCTGTACGTAACGACAGGATAAAGAACTCTTCCCCCCCCAAAAAAAAAATTGTAAAACTAATTTTAAATGAATTCTGAAGAGAATTTTTTGTGGCGTCTGTGCGTACGTACGTACGTACGTGCGTATGTATCTCGCATAACTCATAAACGAGTAGCCTCAGAACGTTGAAATTTTGTATATAGGACTGCTATAACATGTTGATGTGCACCTCGTATTTTGGTTGCAGTCGGCCGCACCAAAAGTATATAAATATATATATATATATCCACTCTGTTACTCGGCTGAGTGATCTCAGTTTCTTTGTTCTTATGTGTTTGTAAATTGTGCATTTTTTGCTTTAAAAAGGATTGAATTATGTTGTTCTTATCTTTCGTATAAAGTTTTTATGCCTTTAGTAAATCTGTATGCAATATTTTTAAAATTATCAACAATTTAAAAATTGTTTAAGTATCGTTAAGCCTAATATTTTTTTTCCATGGCTGCCATTGCTTGTTTACATTTGAAACAGCAGAATAGTAGATTTGTTGCCAATCTAGAGAAATTAAGCTTCGCAATAACAAAGATAACACCTTCTTT